ACTCACTTTGTCACCTCCAAGGTGCCAAACTTTGGTATAAAGGACTATCCCCACCAATACCACCCAATCCTCAAAATTGAAAGGAGTGTTGATCCTTCTTCATGCTTCCCTAACTGTAGAAACCTAACGTGTTAAAATAGACAGCCAGGGGAGATATGTGATGCTTCAGTGCCTACTTAATGATTCCCCATATGTTGTAATTAGCTTCTACAGCCCAAATGTGCACCAACGTAATTTTTTGCATAAGGTATTATCTATGAGTCCAGACCATCAAATGGCCACCACCATACTATGCATAGAAACATAGAAACATAGAATGTGACGGCAGATAAGAACCATTCGGCCCATCTAGTCTGCCCAATTTTCTAAATACTTTCATTAGTCACTAGTCTTATCTTATAGTTAGGATAGCCTTATGCCTATCCCACGCATGCTTAAACTCCTTTACTGTGTTAACCTCTACCACTTCAGCTGGAAGGCTATTCCATGCATCCACTACCCTCTCAGTAAAGTAATACTTCCTGATATTATTTTTAAACCTTTGTCCCTCTAATTTAAGACTATGTCCTCTTGTTGTGGTAGTTTTTCTTCTTTTAAATATAGTCTCCTCTTTTACTGTGTTGATTCCCTTTATATATTTAAATGTTTCTATCATATCCCCCCTGTCTCGTCTTTCCTCCAAGCGACCTGAACCACCCTTTAGACCCCAATATGGACACCACATTAAACCCCAAAGCCCCTAGACAGGCAGCAATATGAACACAAAGCAAAGCCCTAAATAAACTGCTAGGGGAATATGGGCTTTACGACTCATGGAGAACGTACCACCCGACCGAGAAATCATTCTCACACTATTCAGCAGTACATAAATCCCACTCGCGGATAGACTTCATTTTTCTCGCAGGCACCCTTGTACCCAAGGTTACTGATAGTGACATTGGGGACATCACTTGGTCGGATCACGCCCCGACCATTGTGGAGCTCACTGGAGAATACCGGCACAGAGGGCGGCCACCATGGCGCCTCAATGACTCACTCATCCATGACCATACCTTCTCTCAAACACTAAAAGACGCCCTGCACACATACTTCCAAATAAATGACACTCCAGACATACACTCAACAACGCTATGGCAAGCCCACAAAGCGGTAATACGGGGCCTGTTAATTAGCCGCGCATCTTATGTAAAGAAGAAAACCCAAGAGGAATATCTGAACTTGCTGCGCACATTAAGAGACACTACTGCGGCGAATATAGCAAATCCTACCCCACAACAGACACAGGTGATCAAAGACACCACGACACGAATCAACAATATGGCACTTGCCAAAACTGCACACATCCTACACAAATTGAAACAAAAATCATTCTCCCAAGGCAACAGAGCAGGTAAACATTTAGCGACCTTACTGAGACAAAAACAATCCAATGCCAAAATACCCTATCTACTTACGGATAAGGGATCAAAAATCCACAACCCACAGGACATTAACGACACTATGGCAACCTACTACCATTCCCTATACAACCTCAAAGACGATCCAGACTTACACCAACTTCTCCAGCTAACCACACTGCCAACACTTTTAGCCCAACAAAAAAACACTCTACAAAACCCAGTTACGATACACACCATCCAATCTCTCCCTCACAGAAATCACCAGGACCAGACGGCCTGACAAACTCTTATTATAAGTCACTGACTGCATCCCTTGTTCCATATCTAGAAAAATCCTTTAACCACATTATTACAACCGGCCAGATACCCCAGGATATGCTCATTGCGCATGTGGCCACACTACCAACCCGAAACCCCCGACCAAATGCCAGAACCTCAGGCCAATATCCCTCCTCAATACAGATACTAAGCTACTAGCCAAAATATTTTCAAACCGTCTAGCAAACATCATACCGACCATAATACATGAGGACCAGGTGGGCTTTGTCAATGGCAGACAAGGAGCAGATGGAACCCGGAAAGTTCTGGACTTGCTGGGGGGAGCCCAATGTGTGCTTTTATCGCTTGATGGAGAGAAAGCCTTTGACAGGTTGCACTGGCCCTTCCTCCGCGTGGTCCTCAATAAATATGGCTTTCCTGACAACTTCCTAAAACTAGTAGAGGCACTATACTCCAAACCAACCACGAAAGTCACGAATGGGGGCTTAATTTCCAAACAATTTAACATAACTAACGGAACGCAGCAGGGATGCCCGCTTTCCCCTCTCTTATACATTCTGTCCCTAGAACCACTCACACAGCTCGTCAGGGACAACCCGAACATACATGGTATCACCAAACAAGGCAAAGAGTACAAACTCACATTGTTTGCGGACGATGTACTCTTGACGTTGAAGCAACCACATATATCCTTGCCAAACTTCCATTCTATCCCATCCCATTACAGCAAATGCTCACACTACAAGTTAAACATTACCAAAACCCAAGCTATGAGCATAAATATTCTCACAGACGCATTAGAGCGTCTGCGCAGCTCCTTTAACTATTACTGGAGAACCGACCACCTAAAATTCCTAGGAATTAACATTACCCCGACAACAGCCCTACTATATGAAACAAACTACCAAAACACATTATCTGATATAAAAACGCTGTTAACAGGATGGAAAGGTGAATACGTCTGGTGGTCAGGTAGAATAGCTGCGGTCAAAATGATTATTTTACCTAAATTACAATACCTGTTCAGAACACTGCCAGTAAAATTACCCCCCTGCTTCCTTTAAGAAACACAACAAACACTAATGAAATTCATATGGGATAAGAACAAACCACAGGTGGCGAAAAGCACACTATATCTGCGGCGGGAGAAGGGAGTGATGAGTGTACCGAGCAGCCATCCTGGGCCCACTTATAGCAGCGTGCCACCGAACCCAGCCAACCCTGTGGGAAGAGATAGAGACACACCACGCAAATAACATCCCCATAAACATATTAGCATGGCTCCCAAAATCCCACAGACCAGCAACTGGCTTGATGCTTCCTGCCACAGCACTAACTTTACACTTTTGGGACATGTACTGCCGCAAAATAGGTTGGATAGGTAAAACATCACGAGCCACGCCCCTAAAAGCACTACAATACATAATCCCCAACTTCAACCACACCATGTGGCATTGATATGGTATCACACATCTACACCACCTCCTCCAGGATCAGGAACTTAGAAGTTTCAAGGACCTACAACCTCAACGCACAGGTCTCCTTTTCCTATTTACAATTGAAGTCCTGGCTCCACAAACAAACTATGATTGGGACTGGAAATGTACAGGAACCACAGCTGACGGTGGTAGAAAAAATCTGCCTATGCCTCTCACCCCCTAAAAAATTAATCTCTGAAATCTACCAATCAATACACACACACAATGACCATACTAAATTTTCCTTCACAACTGCCTGGGAGAAAGAATTTAAATATAACCTAACCCCGCAGCAGTGGAAAGATATTCTAAAAGCGCACAACTCCCTTTCTAAATGTGCCTCACACATGGAGCTCTCTCATAAAATCCTATACAGGTGGTATTTAGTACCTACTCGCATCAAAGCTGCACATCCACAAGCATCTAATATATGCTGGAGATGCCAGCAGCATAAAGGCACGATGCTCCATATCTGGTGGACCTGTCCTATCCTAACCCCATCCTGGGACGCAGTTTCCACCATGATCCAAGAGAGCACAAACACACTTTTACCCAGAACACCCAAAACATACCTCCTCCAACTATTTCCAGGAGGAATGAGGAGGAAGCAAAAATACCTAAGATATCAGATACTCATGGTGGCCCTTACGGTAATTAGCAGACAATGGAAATCACCTCTACCAATGCCAGTTACTGAATTTACACAAATATTAGAAACTACAAGACTCTGTGAAATAGCTGCCAGGCGAACCCCCCTTCCAAAGAAGGACTGGCTAGAGGTATGGATAGGTATGGGACGATTGGTGCCAATACATGGAGCGCAATAATTCCTCCCCGAAATGAAATGAGATGGCAAAAGCATATATCTGCAAACCGACAGCTGTGTTCCTCAGGGCACGAGCCAATGTACAAACATGAAAAAAATAGTACTGAATAAGGTCAGTGTAAGTCACTTCATGCCTGGGAGTGACACTCACTTCCCCGTACTCCCCCCCCGTTGCCCTCCAACCGTTTCCCCCTTTTTCCCAGTGGCATCCTGGATAAGGAATATCTAAGTCACCAATACCGTTCCTGAGGCATGCATGACCTGATTTTCTCAAATAAGTGCAAACTTGTAGCGTAATACTCCAGATGGAAATTGTATATTTAATTTGTATACTGTATGACACGCCTAAATTGCTATCAATTAGGTACCAACGGTATGTGCCCATACCACTGTACTAAGTATGTTTAAGCCTGTCACTGCTTTCCCCCTACCCTCTCTTCTTTCTGTATCCCCCCAAAGACCAATAAAAATTGTCAAAGTAAAAAAAAAAAAAAAAATGTAACGTGACCTGTTAAAATGTTTAAAAAGTTAAAATGTTGTTATAAGTTTGATTGAAATAGCTTTTGATTTGGGGGGCGGGGCCTGGCCGCTGAGAGGAGAGGAAGCTAAACTGTGCAGCTCCTGCTCTGCGGCACGGAAAAAGTGAAAAACAGCCGTTCAAACCAGACATAACCAGCACAAAAAGGACACCAGGAGGAAGGTGACAGAGAGGGGCACATAATGATGCCTCACAAGCGACACTTACAGCAAAACTCGCCTCCTCGACCTGTGGGGCCTATAAGCGTGGTCGGCGTGAGGGAGACGGCCGCTCCCCTGCCGACACCCACGGCTGATAAACGGAGACCAAACGCCCGTTCCCCCCCCCCTGGACCGGTGGGGGATATCCCGGTCTGTCCTTGGGAGACCCTGGTACAACCCAGCGCCCATACAGTGGCGACACAGGGGCCTGAAACGAGCGGCGGAAATGCAAACAAAATGGTGGAGGCAAGGGGCTCCTCCAATACTCACAGCGGGCGGATGGAGGTGGAGCACCGGCTGGACAGAGCCTTTCAAGTACTTTGGGAGAAGCTCGAGGCCCTCCTGTTCCCATCACCCCATGAGAAAGAGCCAGAAACACACTTGCGCACTCACCCAAGCAAGGTTAAACGCAAGCCTGTACAGACACCCCGAGCACCTCAACGCCTGGCACGACAAAACCAGCCGGAAATTCTCAGAAAGAGGGAGACGGGAGGCCTGTCTGGCGGCAGCAAGAGAAGGGCAACAGCCACTTGGGAACTGCAAGGAATCGTGATGCCCAGAAAGCATCGAAGAGCTGGGTACCTGAGGCGCCCAGGAAGGGCTGCAGTGGAAACCCGGAACAAGGTCCAAGGCACTCGGGCAGCGACTCCCATAGAGCCCCAAAAAGGCAATCCCCAACGACGACAGCACAGGCCGCAATGTGGTGAACACTCACACGCGGCGCTTAGCAAGGGCGACACGCTACTAGCAATCAGCGTGGAAGAGTGTGAGAGAGCCGCACCCTACAACATCATACTGCAGGACTGTATCCTGACCCGAACAGGCATCGGCTGAAGAGAGGCGGTGGGACCTACACGTGGTTCTCCCAAGTCTACCCATACTGCAGAGAACTGCTGAGATACTACAGAACCCTTTTTAACGGTTGCATCTCACTTCTTCATGACTTATTTTTTCTTTCCCTTTCTTTTTTGCAAACCTCATGTGGATATAGCTTGATGACCTGAGCGGGGGGGAGGGTGTACCCTCAGCGGGTGAGGCGCTCCATTAATTTGTTTTACTTACCTGCCAATCTGCTCAGCTAATTGTCTTGTGATGCTCCTATATTGTATGTGTTAAAATGATGCCTACCCAATACTCTTAAGCATAGTAGCACGCATGTTTACTAATGTGCACTATTTTTTACTTAATAGCTGAAAAACCTACTGTGATGACCTAAGCGACAATTTATAGGTGTCTAACTTTGGCACAGTTTTAGTGACACAAGCACCTAGTGAACCGTGCTCCCCCGGGGAGGTTTTCCACTTCCACTTAGACGCGCATGTAAACTTGACTGGGCTTGATGGGCAGACAATATTTAAATAGCTGGACCAAATGTTTATAAGCAGTTTTTCTGTTATGTCTGCCTCCTGGTCCGTCCCTTACTATCACACTGTACCTGACACCGTTGTCACACAAGTCCCCTGTCGCACAGGTACTGACTAATGTCTCCTCCCGCATTTTCACCAGCCTACTAACCAGCATCTGACATCACTAATATACTATGAATACACAAACAGGCACCCGGCAATCTCCATACATACGCTTGCACACTGTACATTAGTCTGACAACATCTACCAGTAATCAGTTAAACTGAGAGGGCTGGCCTACTGGGCTGTGCTGACTTTTCCATTGCCATGCTTGTAACCCAACATATATTCTGTGGTGGAGATTGCAGCTGCAGTTGTGGCTCCTTGAACGTGTGGTATAATAACCTATACTTGCCTAGCACGTGTTAAAATCCACTGGCTGTTCTTATAGTTAATGTGCACGTTTTATAACACTTTTGACTATTCCTGTCCAAACTAAATAACATATACTGTCGGCTCAACTAATGTAGTAATCTAATATTCCTGAACTCACTAGCCTGACTTATTTATAGCTTACCTGCTTTAAAAAACAAAATAATTTTGTGCCTAAATATCAAGTGTCACATCTTGTATTGCATATTGAATTGTTATATACCTCGATCCCGCTGTTGTGGCATATTGAGGCTGTTTGTTTATTTGTGCACAACAAAAATAAAGAATTAAAAAAAAAGAAATAGCTTTTGATTTCAGTAAATATGCTGCAAACACAACAAATGACAATTTTCAGTTCTTTCCAACCTATAAAGTGTTTTGAAATTTACTGTGCATAATAATTTGGAACAGTGCATTGTAAGTTTTTTATGTTTTAAAAAAATATTGTTATCATTAGAAGGTTTGTTCAATAAAATTTGAATTGTACTCTTAATAGTTGATAATATGAGAATTATGCTGACTGTTATTTACATCAATTATTTAGGTAAATGAGAAAAAATATAATTTGCATAATAATTTGGAACAGGGTGTGTATATATATATGGAAGGCTGGGCCTGAAGTTGCAGGAGGCTCTTGGTTTTCCTTCTTAAGGAGCACCAGCCCCCTCCTCACTACCGTCTCAGGTCTGGCGATTTGCATTCCGTCACTTGCGGTCCGTGCAAATCTCCATTTACTTACCCTAACCTCATGGAACGCTTACCTGGTCCCTGCAGTCCCTGATCTTTGGTCTCGTGGTCTCCTGACTCATCAATCCCAACAGGAAGACCATACCATGGAGGTGGCTTCGAGGTTCTGTGTCCGGTAAAAAAACATAAGTCAGGCCGTCAGTCGCGCTGCGTTCACGGGCACTTACGTCATCCTTGGTCGGCTCTGACTCAGACAGGCATCCCTGTTCATTTCTGTTCACGGCCATATGAATGCTTTCGTTCACATGGTTGTTGTTTTCAGCTATTTCTAGCCGGTTGAGCGTTCGGGAACCTCCGGTGGTCATTTTTGGTTATGAGAAGTAGTTATGAAAATTGTCTGCTAATAGATTGTTTCATTACTTTTACTACGGATTAGGTATATCTTGCAATAACGTTTCATAGACCCCGTTAATTCAGTGATTAACTGATCTCAGGGCCATGTATCCGGGGCTAATTCTCATAAGGGTGTTTTGTCATTTGATTTCATAAAATTGATTATAGACATCTTATGTTTCAGTTTCAACAGCATTCAACGATTGAGCTTCAGCTCTTCTAGCATTTGCTTTTCACCGTGTATATAGGTTAGAGATTACGGTTATTATGTCCACTTCTGGTCTCATAAGGCCTGATCCTTCTGTGTAATTTTTCTACATTACTAGGTACTAGGCCATCCTAGCTGCATTTTCAAGTCTTTTGAGTACCGGTCTACTGCCTGAAGGATAGAACATCCATTTCACTATCTTCTCTCGCTGTTTATATTATAAGGGCAATTTGAAACTTTATGGGAAACTTGAAACAGTTGTTTAATTTCTCGGAAAACATTACCACTTACGTCAAATGTTCTTGTTTTTGGTATTTGTAGTATTCTGTGTAAATCAGCATATTTGTGTAAATCAACATAGTTGTTATCTATCGAGCAGCTGCTTCCTGTTACATCCTGTTACACCCCATAGCATGATAAAGTACCATATATACTCGAGTATAAGAGTTTTTCGGCACATTTTTTGTGCTGAAAAAGCCCCACTCGTCTTATACTCGAGTCAGTGTCTGTATTATGGCAACTTACATTGCCATAATACAGACCAGGACCGCCGGGCTCATTACAAGTCTGGCGGTCCTGTTGGGGGCTGGCAGCGAGCTGTTACTTACCTTTACAGCAGCTCCTGTCAGCTCCCTTCTCTTCTGTGCTGTTCAGCTCCAGTGTAAGTCTCGCAAGAGCTGCGGCCGTCAACCCGTGGCAACGCTCCGCGAGATTTACACTGTGGAGCTGGACGGAACGGAGGAGAAGGGAGCTGACCGGAGCTGCTGTAAAGGTAAGTAACAGCTTGCTCCCAGCCCCCCTCCTGCACAGCCCATGCCACTGGACCACCAGGGAATAACATAACCCCCATCCCTGGCCATGTATCAAAAGGGGAGGGGGGACAACAAATAAAAATTTAAATAATATTATAATAAAATAAAATAAAAAATTAATAATATTTAAAATAATAATAATATAATTTAATATTAAAATAATAATAATAAAAAAATTATAAAAAACCCTCCCCCCACCAAGGTTACACAAACTGCATCACATACACAAACACACTCTGCATTATATACACACACACTGCATTCATACACACACACTGCATTATATACACGCTGCATTATATACACACTGCATTATATACACACTGCATTATATACACACACACACACTGCATTCATTATATACACACACTACACAAACACACACACATTCTGCATTAATTATATATACACACGCTGTAAATAGATATTCAATTAATATAATTTGTTTGGGATCAGTGTGTGTGTGTTGTGTTAGTGTATGCAGTGTGTTTGTGTTGTGTTAGTGTATGCAGTGTGTGTTGTGTTAGTGTATGCAGTGTGTTAGTGTATGCAGTGTGTGTGGTGTGTAAAGGTGCAATCTGGGGGGGGAGGGGGAGGAAGGATTTTCACATTAGTTTTTTATTAGATTAAATTAAATGTTTCTCCCCCCTCCCTGGTTACCTGTGTCCAGGGAGGGGGGAGATTCCATGATCCCTGGTGGTCCGGTGGCTCCCTGTAACCACAGAGGGGGCCCAGGCAGCACACAGCTTCTCCTCTTCTCTTCTCCTCTCTTCTAATAACTCTCGCGAGACCCGTGGAGCGTTGCCATGGTAACCGGGTCTCGCGAGAGTACAACGGGTAATTGAAGGCACACTTCACACCGGGGAGGTCTGACTGTTCGGTAGTTTCATTCCCTTATTTGTTAGAATGATTCTATCGAACAATCAGACGAATACATCACATTAATTAGACGAATACAGTATAAACTAACACAAGTCCCAGGACAGCCCAGTGCCATGCGCTACACATAGATAGCGATATTCAACTCCTTCATTAATGTAAATTATACAAAGGGGCTTGTTCCCCAGCTACAGTTATCTGCTAAGAACTGATACCCCTATTGTGTCCTACCATTCCCCAATTTATCCTCTTTATGATAAATGTATCCACTATAATTTCTGTTATGTGATACTCTCTAAGATTGCTGTTAACATTATAAATAGGGTTAGTAACGTTCGATTCCAGATTAATATTTTCGCCCTCCAAATATACATTCCCATTTTCCTCAACCAGTCCATATACATTTCCATTTTCCACAACCAGTCATATACGTTCCCAATGTTCTTAATTTCCCTTATTGTCTTTTCCAAAATCCCTTGATAGAATCACGTTGTTTTAGCCAAACAATCTTGACCACCCACCCAAAATTAAATGTCACATCTACATATGGAACTTGTAGATTGTCACTGCTGTGTTAAGTCTTTGGTAGATAGAGCTGCATTTGCATAGATACAGCTGTTGTTGCTTTGGCCTGTGACAAGCTGCCATCAATTTCCAGGTGAGTTTTAGCATGTTGAGTGAAATCCATGTCTCTGTACTTTTGGAAAAATCTGTAAGAGATCAAGAAGGCGTATCAGTTCTTAGCAGATAACTGTAGCTGGGGAACAAGCCCCTTTGTATAATTTACATGGGTCTACATGGACTGACTTGTATAGACCTCTGCATTTTTACAAATGGTTTGCCCAATGTTTCTAGGATTACATAGGGATCTTCCCAATTTGCATCCAAGGGATAATTTTGTTAACATTTTCAATCATTATTAAGCCTACCCCACTTTCTCAAACAGAGTTTGAGGAGTAGATCAAATTTTACAATATATTGGGGCCATATATTAGACCCCCCTTGGATAGTGTAAGTGCACCTATGAAAATCATTCTGTATTGACTTCCAGGGGCCGTCTGCAAGTGGCACTCTTTGATGCCGAGGCCTTTGTCCCTTAGGGCATAGATATACTTGGGAACAAATAAGGCATTCCTGAATCCAACGTAGAGCTAAATTTGTTATTTCAGGACCATAAGATTTCAGTCTAATGTGATAGTCTAATGCACTCTGTCCAATGTGCCACATAAAGGCATATGTTTGTTTTGTAATTGGCCTCTGTAAACGGTGTGGGCAGTAAAAAGAAGCCTTGGTAGTTGGCCATTAGGATTACTGTAACATAACAACCCTTCTTCTATAGAATAACCACTATGAAGTGTTTCATGGTTCTGTAATAAAGGAAATATTAGGATTCCTATTCTGTTCTGCTTTTAAATCTGGTACTTCTGAACCTTGATCAACAATCTTGGCTATCAGAGTAATTAGTTCTTTACATGAGAAGTGCTTGCTGTATCTCAATATCTTTTATATGTAAATGCCATTGATCTCCATCTAAGACAGCCTACTTTACTAACAAATTCACATTCAAATTAGTGTTTACCTTTACAATTGCTGACTGGAGGGGGTGCTATAGTCCCCATCTGTTACGGAAGCCCCTCTGTCTGCCACAAGAGCAATACTTTTCTACATTTTGGCTACTGTTGCCACTACTATGGATAATATTTTGTTATCACTGTTTGGATACTTCCCTATTCCCAGATACACGAATGAACAGTGCTACCCATTCGTATATACGAACAGCAGACCACGCAGCCCTTGTCGTGTGTCTTCACTTAACCCCAATCACCTTTCAAACCACCAAAAGACCTAACGAACGGTCGACCACCCTAACGGCGGAGTGTGCCAGCAATTAACCACCCAGGAGCTGCGGTTTGTGGTTAACCACAGCCTAATTCATTGGAATCCAGTTGGCCTCGTTCGTATTCCAACTAGACGAACAAAGACGAAAGAACTGTCGAACGACGACCCCCTTGAAACTGTCGTGTGTATCCAATTAACCTGCGGTTCTTGCGGTTAACCGCAGCCTAAACACTTTCTCCAAGGTGGTTGCCGTTAGTATACCGAACACGAGGCGGCGGCCATCTTTATGTCGTCGAATACTCAGCGGGACTTGGGCCTAAATCCATGTGGAGAAAACCAGCTACTAGTTTGCACAAACCCCGCTAAGATGTCGGTTATTTTATCCTTTCGTGAAAAACCATACAAACTGACTTCTATTTCATGATTTCCCCAATCCATTCGTAAGAACTGAGCACCATTCACATGTTTTGTGTGTCCAGAGCTGAGCTATCCAGGGAATGGTCGAATTAGATATTTTGATGTTTAAATGCAAAAGTTGTATATTTTTATGTTGTTTTCACCTGTACAATAAAACGTGGTATTTTTATGCCCTTGGAGGTTAAGTACGACCGTTGGGATCAATTATCTCCAAGGTAGAGGGAAGTGTTTCAAAGAATGAACTTTATCCTTATTGGATGGGACATTGCATTGTCTAGTGTACCATCAGGTCCAGAGGGGGTTGTCCTCTGGCCTGGAAACTGTATAAATTGCCATGCATGAGTGCCAGTAAAACCAGTTCGTGTTACCCTTAAATCGCAGCCTCGACTCGTTTTGCAGGGTATAGTGTATCCTAGCTGTGCTATAGCTAGTAGGAATGTTCTACACTTTCAGGAGAATCTTATGGAGGCGGATCAGAGCGACATTCTACCTCTCCAACCTCGGGAACCAGGATATCCAAGCGGTCCAACTTCCAGCTAGCCCGGAAGCAACCGTAACACCATCCAACCAATTTCCCAAGATTCCATATGGACAGATAGTTTGATCTGGTGGCATAAGCAATGTCACTATGGATACAAATAGGGCATGTGTCAAAATCCTTTGAAAAATTTACAAGTCCTAAAAACTTTTTCAAGGATTGCTTGTTAAAAGGTCTGGGGACTTGTAAAATTGCTATCACTCTTTCTTTAATTGGGCAGCTGTGATAGCTACTCCCAAAACCTTTTCTTTTTTGAGAAAATGCTCATTTGAAGTGTCT